ATTGGAGGCTACACTCTCAGTTCCTAGAACATCAAAAAGTGTTCCTTCTTTCTTCTCTTCCATAAATATCCCCCATGCGAAATCAATGGCAGAGCTAATAGGGAGCATCTCTGACTCTGTAACAATTTCATATTTCCACATTTGCATATGTCAGTCTCCAATACATAGCAAAATTGTCCTTACTACACTGCAGGATTTTACACATGGCCCAGCTAGGTTTCCAGATATTAGGACCTGGCCTCTCTTCTCCAATGCTTGGGGCAAGGTTGTGGGTAAGGGCATTGCCTTGAAAAGTGAGTGGGTACCTAAATATACATTTGCTAGACTTTGTAAAGTTTGACTGAGATACAGAATGGGGGACACATGGCTCGAGAGCAGTATGTGTGAAAAAGATCTTGGGGTTCTCCTGGACAACAAAAAATGAAATGCAAAGATACAGAATGGGGGACAATGCCTGGCTCGAGAGCAGTACATGTGAAAAAGATCTTGGGGTCCTTGTGGACACCAAGTTGAACACGAGCCAACAATGTGACGCAGCAGCAAAAAAAGCTAATGGGATTTTGGCCTGCATCAATAATAGTATAGTCTATATCCAGGGAAGTCATGCTATCCCTCTATTCTGCCTTGGTTAGACCACACCTGGAAGATTGTGTCCAATTCTGGGCACCACAATTGAAGAGAGATATTGACAAGCTGGAATGTGTCCAGAGGAGGACAACTAAAATGATCAAGGGTTTGGAGAACAAGCCCTACGAGGAGTGACTAAAAGAGCTGGACATGTTTAGCCTGAAGAAGAGAAGACTGAGAGGAGACATGATAGCCATGTATAAATACGTGAGAGGAAATCATAGGGAGGAGGGAGCAAGCTTGTTTTTTGCTGCCCTGGAGACTAGGACGTGGAACAGTGGCTTCAAACTAGAAGAAAGGAGATTCCATCTGAACATTAGGAAGAACTTCCTGACTGTGAGAGCCGTTCAGCAGTGGAACTCTCTGCCCCGGAGTGTGGTGGAGGCTCCTTCTCTGGAAGCTTTTAAACAGAGGCTGGATGGCCATCTATCGGGGGTGCTTTGAATGCAATTTTACTGCTTCTTGGCAGGGGGTTGGACTGGAAGGGCCATGAGGTCTCAACCAACTCTATGATTCTATTATTCTACTCTGAAAAATAGCAATTGCTGTTTAATATATCATGTTGCAACAGTCACCCATTGTCATATTTATAAGAGTTGTCCCCTGTAACATCGCCAAGGGCTATCCTTGTTGCCAGGTTTTGGCATGATCTCAAAGCCTCTTGTGGTACTAGCCTGCCAAACTTAGATCCAACTATCTGACAGAAGAGTGAGAAAGTTAATTGTACTGATGTGATTGTTCTTGGCACAAGATTTACTACTCTTCCAAAATGACTTGTCTTCCAAATTAAAAATTGTGGGAGGCTTTGAATAATGCTGTCCATTGCCAATTCATAATGATGCTGTATTCTTGCTTGTCTGAAATCAGTTGGTAAGAGACATATATGTATTAGACTGTATAGGTAAAGTGAAGCAATTTATATCTTCTACTTCCAATTGTACTACAAATGTTTTCAATGGAAAAGTGAATGGGTATGAGGCAAGGTCAAGAGATATTGCCTGCACAGGACCAATGCAGAAAAATTAAAAGAAAGGCATGCAAGGAGGAAAAGACCAGTTTCTGAGAGAGGTGAAGCAGAAAAAAATAAGTTTAAAACTCTAGTGATGCACGCCTGCCCAATAAGAATTAATTTCAAGAGTTTTAATTTCTGTGGGGCTAAAACTGGAAAATGTCAGTATAAATTGCAACTTGCAATTTTCAGAGCTTTCACTTGTTTGGATTTCTATCATGTTAATGTCTGTGCTTGACCCAGCGGGGCATCTAAAGCAGTCTACCATTTTATAGCATGGCCAATATAAGGCTCATAATCATTTGACTCTTGGTGATGGATTTGCTGCTATGACTTTTTTTTTTTCACAGCTTGAGATTTGATGTCAAAACCTGTTAATCCTTCTATGTTCTGATGTTTTACAACCAGAAAGATTGATTGGCAAAAAAAAAAAATGTGCATGTTCTAGCCAGTTAAAGTCTGCTTGAAAAAAGGTATTCTGTGACCAAAGAGTTTTTGCTTCCTTGTTTACAGTCAACCACTAGAAAATTGTAGTAAGAGCAAAACAAGAGCCGGTTAATGCAGAGCAATCCAATATATTTTACAGATGTGCAAAATGCCAAAAATCCACTCCATTTCTAATTATGAAATTCAGAAGACCCCATTTTGCTTCTAAAGTGTTTTGATAAATTCATGAGGAATCTGTTTAGTTTCTAATACAAAGTTCCTAAAATTTCGTTATTTTTTCGTTACGTTATTCCACCCATTTGCACCAATGGGGACACTTTTGGGACTCATTTCTCTCTTGTTTTCAGGACTCTTGGGATTAAACTTGCTGCAAATGTAGCACACATTTGCCACTATAAGCCCTCCAAGTTTTAGAATGTTTCACTCATCCACTGATTTGGGGGAAATTCTGATTTTTTTTTACAAACATTTCTTTAAAATGAAATTACAAGGGCTATTCCCTTAAATTTGTCTACAATGACATAGTATAACCAGGGCATCATTCCTCCCAAGTTTCAGAAAGATGAGCACATCCTCTGATTTTGGGGGGATTTTTAAAGTTTTGACAAAAACTTGTTTTTTAAAATAAAAAAACCCCACAAAAACTCAACTATGTGTGGATGAGGGAAAAGAGGAAACTACTATATCCAGATCACATTGATGGAGAGTTATGCTGTGCCAGCAGGAACATAAGGTTTTAAGTTTCCTATAATGTTGTAAATAATTGTATTTGAGCACGTTCTAGACTTCACCAGTGTCAAATAGTTACCAATTTCTGTGAAGAGTTTTATCACAAGATTGATGTAATATAATATAACATTAATATGACATAATTGGGAAAAATTACCTATTATTCTATATTTTCATACTCACTTGGTTTACTTAGCAATAGAGCTTTCAATTTGCATTTCATATTCCCATTTCTCATATATGCAGGGTAGAAAAGCTCCAGAAGTTGAGAGGTGGCATTACATCAGGGTTGTCACATAAACTCAGAAGGCCAAATCCATACACTTATATACCCACTCACCCCTTATTGTGCTTTCTTTACTTAACTTTCATTAACACTAAAATTACAATTTAGCTGAATTAAATTAAAATGCTCTCCATGACTGATGGACATGGGAGCAATTTTGCCATGATTTTAAACACCGTGATTGTTGGGTATTGGATGAACTTCAAGTAAAAAAGAAAATCAAAAGCCAACTTCAATTGACCTCCTGGTTGTTGTTGTTGTTGTTGTTATCTTTATTTACACACCACCTTTCTCCCCGTGGGGACTCAAGGCAGCTCACATTCCTGCACTAGACAAGTTTCAAAAGTGCAATACAAAAGTTAAAAAGCAATTAAATAGTAACAGTGTGGTTTCAAAAAAAATCTTCTCCTTGGCCTAAAAATCTCAAGGTAAGAACATAATGAAATGTCCCTCAACCCTCAAGAATAGTGGAAAATGATTTAGTTGCATTTTTTAAAAAGTAAAAAAAAATCTTAAAAATGGAGAAACTATAAGCCCCGGAAGGGCAGTCCAAGAAGTAAATTATATTTGTTTGTATTTCAATGGACACAGAATTTATTCCTATTCTATACGTCATTGGCTTGTCAATGTAGTCTAATTCCCACCTAAATCTGATTTTTATGAAGTACAATGACCTCAATACAGTAGTCTCAAGTATGTTTATAGACCTTCTTCAGATTACAGACTTTTACTGGGTTACCTGAGAATATGCCAAGGATTAAATGGATCATACTTTGGGAATAGGCATTTTATAGAACTCCTTGTTCCAGTCTAGCTGGTGAATTATTCTTGTTAAAATGCTATATGGGCAGTCCCAAACCTTCCCACACATGTATATTATCACAGAAACTGCTTTCAAAAACAGCCATCTATAAAACACACAGTTTTGTCAGAGATGACTCATGGTATTCTTCATGCACAATTGAAAGAAGAGGCCATGGGTGGTCTCTGATGAGGAGTTGTTAACTGTTTGTACAATAGCTCCTAGCAGCTCACTTAGACAATGAAAGAGGAAATATCAAAAGGATAATAGTCAATTTTGTCACATTTGCTGAAGTGTTGACATATTTTGCTGAAAATATATTTCTTTCTGAGTTCACCTACATGACATGAAGAGTAAAGTCCAAGAACTACTGGAGTGGAATATCTACAAAGCCTATGAATGTACTGCAAAATTGGTTATTAATGAAAGAAAAAATAATGAAGAACAAATCTAGTTTTGGTCCTTGTCACATATCATGTTTTTGAAGCTATGATTGCACATCTTTTTATTTGTGTTTTGAACTATTAAAGCCCCTGAAAATGTTCCATATATATTAAAGTGTATATTTTATTTTCAGCAGTTGTGAAATGCATCAGTGTTAGGCGGCAACAAAGTTCTGAAGTGTTACATTAGTTTGTAAAGTATAGAAAAATACAATTCATAGAAAAGTACAGAAAAATTCAATTCATAGAAAATTCACAAATGATCAATTTTGAGATAATTTTTCAAAGCACCATGAATTGTACCATGTTGTTGTTATTTTTATTTTGTTGAAGTTTTACATTAGTTTACATTGTAAAGTACAGAAAAAATCAATTCAAAGAAAAGCACAGAAAAAATCAATTCATAGAAAATTCACAAATGATCAACTTTGAGATAATTTTTAAAACACCATGAATTGTACCATGTTGTTGTTATTTTTCTTTTGTTTGTTGTGTGCCTCAAAGTCATTTCTGACTTACGGCAACCCAAAGGTAAACCTCTCATCGTAGTTTCTTACCATTATTTAAAGGAGGAGCAATTACACTGAAAACAAATTTTAATGTTTCTCAGGGCAAAGTTATACTGAAAATGTGTTTTGTAATGTTTTTGCTTGTTAGGGTATGATGTACTTAGAAGAAAGAAGACTGGTTCATCGAGACTTGGCAGCTCGAAACGTCCTGGTAAAATCACCAAACCATGTGAAGATCACAGACTTTGGCCTGGCCCGGCTCTTGGAAGGGGATGAAAAAGAATACAGTGCAGATGGCGGGAAGGTATGTGCTACAGTCTGATAAATTGGCTAAATATGTTCTGATTGGAAACTAAATTTATATGTGTGTGTGCATGTGTGTGTATAACTTCTTAAAGCAAAAATATTTAGAACTAGAACACACCTTAAGAATGAGGCCAGGTTTAATTTTAAAAACCTAATAGAAAGAATCATGAAAAACCTATGAGTAGGGGTCCCTCCTTTGAGTTTTGAGAATGAATAATGTTAACAAATACATAAAATAACAATCATTGAGTCCTCCATTTTTGTTTTCATACCACGGAACAATGGCAACAGCCCGTAAAAGAATTTCTTTCTGGATTTTGAAGCTTTGAATGATTTGGTCTTGTTTGAAAAGTAAAGTTCATCCCCTAGGATATTTTTCATCTTTGTTTATGCTCACTTCTCACAAATTTTGTGTAGACCACAAGTGTCAAGACCCAGAAGCCTCAAGAATGCCAAACACAGTATAAAAGGTCCAAACAAAGGTTTATTAAACACAAAAAAGGCTTAGAGACACTTAACTCAGTGCCTCTAGCACAAACGACTCCGGCCCAGTTTACCTGTCCGAACGGATTCTCCCCTATGAACCATCAAGGCTATTAAGATCTTCCGGGGGGGCCCTGCTCTTGGTCCCACCACCCTTGCAATCACGGTTGGTGGGGACGAGGGACAGGGACTTCTCGGTGGTGGCTCCCTGGCTTTGGAACTCCCTCCCACTAGAGATTAGATCTGCTCCCTCCCTTCTGACGTTCAGGAAACTACTAAAGACCTGGCTCTGGAATGTGGCATTCCTGTAACACAAGGAAAGAAAACAAGGGAAAAACAAAAAGCTTTGATAAATAGTATGTTTTTTTTTGCCAGTGCTGGAATTTTCTTTTTTGCTTTTTTTGTTTAACTGGGATTCTGGATGAGTGAAGTACAAGCGAGAGTAAAGTACTGAAACCAAAAAGGCATTTAAAGGAGAAAGTACATCTATTTTCAGCTTAATGTCTCAACTCTATCCTACTATAAGGAAACTATCATGCATGCAAAAGCAGTTGTACATATACTACTTGCTAGGGTGGAATTCAGGAGCAAAATTAGATGTATATTGAAAACATATATCCAAGAAAAATTGATTGTACCCATATTGTAATGCTTTCAGCTGGGTACTGTGCATATCAGCATTATTAATCAATAGCACTTAACTTATTAAACTGTGAGTATAGCTCAATTGGCCTAAATGCCCCTAACACACCAGATCTTATCTGGTTCTGGAAGTTAAGAATATTAGCCCTGACCAAAAGGTTGGCAGCTCAAATCCGGGGAGTGTGATGAGCTCCCATCTGTCAGCTCCAGCTTCTCATGTGGGGACATGAGAGAAGCCTCCTACATGATGGTAAAACATCTGGGCATCCCCTGGACAATGTCCTTGCAGATGGCCAATTCTCTCACACCAGAAGTGACTTGCAGTTTCTCAAGTCGCTCCCAACACACACACACAAAAGTACTTGAATGGGAGACCACCAATGAATGCCCCATATTGCAAGCCATATTATAGAGAAAGAAACTTACAAAACTATCTCTGAGTATTCCTTGTTTAATAAAACAACCTGAAATTCTTTGGGTCATCATAAGTCAATATATGACTTAAAGGCACACACAGTTCAATCAGGGATGGACATTTTTCTGTCTCCCATGTTTATATCATCTCTGCCTCTCTCCACCTCAACCTCTAAAGTTGCATCTTGTTTATGAAGGAAACTGCTGATTTCAACAAGTCCTTAAGATAGTTGGAAGTCAACAAAATTCTTATTAATCATTACTGGGTTGAAAGTCTCTTGCTTAAGGAACTGACTAGTTCTTCCTAACCTGTTGCCTATAAACGAGCTGTGTGACAAAAACTGGAAGACATTCCTCTTAGTGGTAGAAAGAAACCCAATTGAGGATGGCATTTGGAATTATGCTTGTAGTGTATTAAAAGAGTGTTTTAACGTCGTTTAGATCTGGTGCGTCCCTTTAGGTCACTTTGGCCTCATCATTGTGTGTGTTCATATGCCATCAAGTTGTATGTCAAAGTTTTCTTAAGGAAGGAATTCTCAGAAGTGGTTCTGCTACTTTCTTCCCCTGTAGCACCTGAAATTCCATGGTGGTCTCCCATACAAGTACTAACCAAGGCTGATCCTGCTGAGCTTCAAAGATTAGATGGAATCTGGTGCTTTTAGGGCAGGGGTGTCAAACCCATTTTCATCTAGGGCCTCTTCAGTCTTATGGTTGTCTTCAAAAGGCTGTTGAATCCATGGATGGAAAATCTGTGAATACAGAGGGTTATCTATCTATCTATCTATCTATCTATCTATCTATCTATCTATCTATCTATCTATCTATCTATATCTATCCATCCATCCATCCATCCATCCATCCATCCATCCATCCATCTATCTATCTATATTACATAATGGTTGGTGCCCTTTTGTTTTTACCTAGTTTTGGTCCCCTAATGTTATTGATTGATAATTCCCACCACTTCCTGACCTGTGGATAAGGAATGATGGGAACTGCAACTCCATATGACTTGTGGTGCTGAGTTTTGGGAAAGGTTAAATGATATCATATCTACAAGCCTTAAATCTCACTTCAAACCCCACTCTCCTGACTAAACTTAATAAGCTGCAGCCTCCCAAATGTTCTGATGTTCCTATATCTCAACTCCCATCAGCTCTAGTCATCATGTTCAGTGATAAGGAATACAGAAGGTGTAGCCTAGCATCTGAAGGCCTACATTAAATAATAATAATAACAATAACAACAACAACAACAACAATAATAATACTTTATTTATACCCTGCCACCATCTCCCCAAGGGGACTCGGGGCAACTTACATAAGGCCAAGCCCAGCAATACAACACTGCAAATGTACAAACACAAGAATACAACAAAATATATATAAAAAATAAAATACAAGAAACATTATAAATAAACACATCAGACCATATAAAATCACAATAGGAACGAAGTAGGGTTTAAATGACATGGAGGGCTGAATTAGGCCTGCGGGCCTTGAGTTTGACACAGATATTTAAGTGGATAGGGGTGTACTGTTCAATAATAAAACCTACCATTTTTAAAAACAAACAAGCAAACCCCTTCTAACATACAACTCTTTAGATATTTATTTGGTTTATGGAAACATTTCATAGAATAATGTTCTTTTTTTCCTGTTTTTGCTGATTTTTTTCTTTCTTTCTCTCCTACCCTAGATGCCGATTAAATGGATGGCTCTTGAGTGTATACATTACAGGAAATTCACACATCAAACTGATGTTTGGAGCTACGGTAAAGCTGAACGCATGTGTTAATACTCAATAAGTCATCATTTTGAATTGATTTGTGCCATTAACATTTATCATCTTTCATGTTATAAAAGTGTAAAGAACTGTAATAACCCTGAACAGCTTTATGCAGGAGGCCTGGTTGATTTACTAAACATTTATGGTTGGAAGACATAGATTGCCCCGTATTGCAAGCTTCTTTGGAGGCTTTTAAACAGAGGCTGGATGGCCATGTGTCGGGGGTGCTTTGAATGCAATTTTCCTGCTTCTTGGCAGGGGGTTGGACTGGATGGCCCATGAGGTCTCTTCCAACTCTATGATTCTATGATTCTATGAGTCATTTCTGCCTAGGATGCTGAGAAAATGCCCTTGAGAACCAGTGCAAAGCAGTTAAAGACAGTAAGGTGTAGTGGAAGAAGTGTTCTTATAACTGACTAGCCATCCCCTGCCACGTGTTGCTGTGGCCCAGTCTGTATATATGTGTTTTGTGTGTGTGTATGTTTGTGTATATGTTTGTTTGCGCATATATGTGTGGTTTTGCTCATGTGTTGTAATGTATTTTTTTATGTATTGTCGAAGGCTTTAATGGCCGGAATCACTGAGTTGTAGGTTTTTTTGGGCTCTATGGCAAGCATCCTCAGAGGTAGTGAGGTCTGTTGGAACTAGGAAAAAGGGTTTATATCTGTGGAATGACCAGGGTGGGACAAAGGACTCTTGTCTGCTGGAGCTAGGTGTGAATGTTTCAACTGACCACCTTGATTAGCATATAATGGCCTGACAGTGCCTGGAGCAAACTTTTGTTGAGAGGTGATTAGATGTCCTTTTTGTTTCCTCTCTGTTGTTGTGCTGTTGTAATTTTAGAGTTTTTTTAATACTGGTAGCCAGATTTTGTTCATTTTCATGGTTTCCTCCTTTCTGTTGAAATTGTCCACATGCTTGTGTATTTCAATGGCTTCTCTGTGTAGTCTGACATCGTGGTTGTTGGAGTGGTCCAGCATTTCTGTGTTCTCAAATAATATGCTGTATCCAGGTTGGTTCCTCAGGTTCTCTGCTATGGCTGACTTCTCTGGTTGAAGTAGTCTGCAGTGCCTTTCATGTTCCTTGATTCGTGTTTGGGCAATGCTGCGTTTGGTGGTCCCTATGTAGACTTGTCCACAGCTGCATGGTACACGGTAGACTCCTGCAGAAGTGAGAGGATCCCTCTTGCCCTTTGCTGAACGTAGCATTTGTTGGATTTTCTTGGTGGGTCTGTAAATAGTTTGTATGTTGTGTTTCCTCATCAGCTTCCCTATGCGGTCAGTGGTTCCCTTGATGTATGGCAAGGGAACTACTGGGTGGATCTTTGTCTTTACTCTCGTGACTTTTTCTTGGTCTTGCAGCTCTTCTGATGTCTGAGGTGGAGTATCCATTGGCCTGGAGAGCCCAGTTGAGGTGGTTCAGTTCATCTTGGAGGAGGTGGGGTTCGCAGATTCTTTTTGCACGGTCTGCCAGGCTTTAATGGTGCTTCTTTTTTGACTTGGGTGATGGTTGGAGTTTTTATGTAGATATCTATCTGTGTGTGTGGGTTTTCTGTAGACGGTGTGACCCAATTGTTGATCTGGTTTGCGGATGACGAGGACATCTAGAAAAGGCAGTCTTCCTTCATTTTCTTTTTCCATGGTGAATGGATGTTTGGGTGGATGCTGTTGAGATGGTCCAGGAACCTGTTGAGTTCTTCTTCTCCATGGCTCCAAATGGTGAAGGTGTCATCCACATATCTGAACCATATGGTGGGCTTTTTGGTTGCTATTTCCAGGGCTTATTTTTCAAAGTGTTCCATGTAGAAATTAGCTATGACCGGCTGAGAGGGCTCCCCATCGCTACTCCATCTTTCTGTTCATAGAACCCATTGTCCCACTGAAAGTAGCTGTTTTTGGCTTTTTAAGTCCCTTCTCCTGTGTTTTTCAGTGTTTTTCTGAGTGATGGTCACTCGTTGGCCTGATAGATACATTGTGTCCAAATTTGGTGTCAAATTATCAATTGGATTTTGAGTTATGTTAATCCCACAAACAAACATTGCATTTTTATTTATATAGATTATACATCCTGGGATTGTAGTTTGGTGAAACACCAGCACTCTTTTTGACAGAGAAAGCTAAAGACCTTGTAAAGCTACAAATTGTATGATTCCATAGAATTGAGCCATGGCATTTAAAGTGGTGTCAAACTGTGCTAGTTGTACAGTGTAGATGCACTCTGTAATTTGAGAAATCCACATTTAAGTTTCAATTAAACCATGAAAGCCATTGTGTGGCTTTATCTCAGTCCTTCTTTCAGACTGCCCTACTTCACGTGATAAAGTGTGAGGATAAAGTATGCAGCAGAGGAGATGTAGTCACTGCCTTGAACTCACTAAAAAACCAACAACAACCAATTGGCTCTAAAAGTAACAAATAAAATAAATAATGTGAGGATTAATGCTCTTACTCCAGCTTATATCTTTTCTTTCCCCACAGCAACTCTTGCTCAGTGATACATAGAAGTATGGCAGTGGGCCATAATTTGCAGCATGCCTTTGAGAAAGCTATGTTGAAAAGCTGCGATTTTTAATTTTTAAAAATAGGCTTATGTGATTTGCGTACAACAATCAGATAAAAGAAGCTTATTATAATATAGAACAAACATTGAAAAGACGGGGACTAAGTGGAAAGCGAGGGCGACTGATTAACATGGCTTCCATTTCAATTTCTCAAACGGCCTTAAACATCTGTTAAAGAAATTGGGTAAAAAAGAAATGTCAGCTGCACAAGAAACCTTTGAAATCCAGGACTAGGGGATTTGTTTAATTGTGTTAATTAGAATATCAAGATAAACTCATTGGCATCTGCTTAGCTGTTTGCTACCAGAGCAGGTATTTCAGCTGTTACTGGTGTGATACCTTGCACCTTTGTCAGATAGAATTAGAGAGCATGAAGCCCGTGTGTACCACACAATTAAGATGTACAACATTACTTGCTATTCCAAAAGGGCGCTCCAAACAAAGCCTGTTTCGCTATTCTGTAATTCACCATACAAGGAGAAAAGCTCATACTGCCATCACTTTCCTCTTGGTAATGCAATGCACCAATAGAAGAGTGCCGGTTGGGTCCATGGGAATTCTCCATGCCAGCCAATCTATGTAAATAAAAACGTAATGTTCATTTGTGGGATTAACAGAACTCAAAAACCACTGGACAAATTGACACCAAATTTGGACACAAGACACCTAACAACCAATGAGTGACCATTCACTCATAAAAACACTGAAAAACACAGCAGAAGGGACTTAAAATGCCCCCAAAAGCTAAATGACAAAAAGCTAAATGACAATACAGAAAAAAAGGAAGAAAGAGGGAGGGAAGGGGAGAAAAAAAGAAAGAAAAGAAAGAGGGAGGGAGGGAAAGAAAGAAGGAAAGGGAGAAGGAAGCATGGAAGCAAAGAGAGAAGGAAGGAAGGAAAGAGGTAGAGAAGGAAGAAAGGAGAGAAAGAGGGAAGGAAAGAAAAAGGGGAAGGAAGGAGAGAAGCAAAGAAAAAAGGGAAAGAAGGAAGGAAAGAGGGAGCGAAGGAAGGGGGAATATGTAGAGAAAGAGGGAGGGAAGGAAAGAAGGAAAGAGAGAAGGAAGAAAAGAGACAGCAGAAGAGAAAGAAAAAAGGGAAGGAAGGAAAGGGATAGAGAAGGAAGGAAGGAAGAAGAGAAGGAAAGACGGGAAAGAGGAAGGAAGGAAGGAAGGAAGGAAGGAAGGAAGGAAGGAAGGAAGGAAGGAAGGAAGGGGAGGGAAGAAGGAGGGAAAGAAGGAGGAGAGGGAAGGTTGGCCACAGCAAAGCGTGGCGGGTACAGCTAGTCTATATAAATAAAAATGTAATGTCCGTTTGTGGGATTAACATAACTCGAAAACCACTCAACGAATTGACTCCAAATTTGGACACAAGACACCTAACAACCCAATGTATGTTCTTCAATTAAAAATGACTTTGTCATTTGGGAGTTGTAGTTGCTGGGATATATAGTTCACCTACAATCAAAGAGCATTCTGAATCCCACCAACGATAGAATTGTTCCAAACCTCCCACACAGAACCCCCATGTGGGCCACAGCAACGCGTGGCAGGGGACGGCTAGTCTATATAAATAAAAATGTAATGTTCGTTTGTGGGATTAACAGAACTCAAAAACCACTGGACGAATTGACACCAAATTTGGACACAAGACACCTAACAACCCAATGTATGTCCTTCACTCAAAAAAATCAATTTTGTCATTTGGGAGTTGTAGTTGCTGGAATTTACAGTACACCTGGAACAACCACGTCTTCAAGCTCCTCCTGAAAACTGCTGGGGTTGGGGCCTGCCTGATGTCCTTAGGGAGTGAGTTCCAGAGTCAAGGGGCCACCACCGAAAAGGCCCTCTCGGTGGTGGCCCCTCGACTCTGGTAAGAACCTGCACCTTGAATTGGGTCCGGTAAATGAATGGCAGCCAGTGGAGCTCCTTGAACAGGAGGGTTGACCGCTCCCTGTAAGGAGCCCAGTTAACAACCTGGCTGCCGCCCGTTGGATCATCTGAAATTTCCGGGCTATTTTCAAGGGCAGCCCCACGTAGAGTGCATTGCAGTAATCCAGTCTAGAGGTGACTAAGGCATGGACCACCTTGGCCAGATCTGCCTTCCAGAGGTATGGTTGTAGTTGGCGCACGAGTCTTAATTGTGCAAAGGCCCTCCCGGCCACCACCGACACCTGAGCCTCAAACGTAAGTGAAGAATCCAGGAGGACTCCCAAACTGTGGACCTGTGACTTCAGGGGGAGTGCCACCCCATCCAGCACAGGTTGCCACCCTATACCACGGTCTGGTTTACGATCGACCAGGAGGACCTTTGTCTTGTCGGGATTAATCTTCAGCTTGTTTGTCCTCATCCAGACAGCCACAGCAGTCAGGCACTCGTCCAGCACTCGAGGGGCTTCCTTGGAATTCGGTGGAAAAGAGTAGTAGAGTT